GTAGTAGTAGTAGTAGTAATTAATAGAAACAGCTGGTATAACCAGTAGTAGTGGCGGGCGCGGTGGTGGCCGTCGCTGCAGCTGCTGCAGTGTTTGTTTGTGTTGTCGTTGATGATTCTTGAGATGGTAAAGTTGGCCGCCGCAGCAGCATCATCGTTAGCATTCCAAGCTTAGGGGCAGCCCCGACCACTGCCTCAGCCGCGGATAAGAATAAAATGATTGTCTTTAGTGGCTTTCGAGCCCCATTCCGATTGTAGGAAACATCGAATAAAGCCAAAACCCGGACAAGGACGGTCGTGTTGAGTACACCAAGGCCTGTAGCTTCGAAGCTGTCTGCTGCCGGGCTGCCCACTTGAGGCACACGGTCAAGTTAAGCTCCTCAGACATGTGCCTCCTGGATTGCTGGATTCCCTTCAAGGAGGTTTGAGGTTTCGACGATCGCAGGCTTCTAGGTTTCAGTTTCGCCGTCTTCGTGTCATTGCAAGAAGCCTAGATGCATCAGGCTAAACAGACTGACATGATGGGAACGAGGGCCGCTGCCTCATCGTTGGCGTTGTGTTTCTTGTTGATGCTGTTGGTGCCACCACAACTATCGAACCCTGTTGGTCCAGTGAGGCCGGCTTCCAGTATCTTCTTTGCTTGCAAGGTCGGCAGCATCACTGGTAAGCAACTTTAACCTAGGTTCCGTGAACATGACGAGCGTTCGCTTGAACACCTCTCGGTTTTGGAAGCTACAGTACCTGGACCTTTACCGGCCCAAGCGGGTTTGTTAGTTGGCGTGGCAGAGCTGTACAGTCATGCATCGTTTATTGTCATTACATTAATCAGTGAGTAGACCTTGACACGCCAAGGGCATCAGCAGCTGTTATGCCAATACTACGTAAGTAATTCCTCCTCCACCGCTCACCCTGTGCGGCTTCGGTTTTCACAGTATACGACACTCGGACAGACGGCTTTCCGACAAAGAGTTTCTGACAAGGTTGGAGCTAAACGTGAAAGGTAACGCGGCAAGCGCAGTAAACGGGAGCTGCTCGGCTACGAAGCCTTGCGTTCTTACATCTTGATGGCAGCATGCCGGAGAGACTAGGGAGATCTAGGGAGCGTCAGGGTCTGAAAGATCTGCGGCCCTGTTAGATACAGCCCAAGCCCAAATTCGAAATTCACCGCAAGATTTCCCACGCCCTGAAGCTCCGACAGTAATCTTACAGTGATTTGGATGCCATGGCGCGAACTTCGTTCACGTTGCTCCAGCCTCCATTGTCACACGAGCTCAGGCTGTGGACGCTAGTTTCGACTTGTGTTGTACCAGGGTATGGAAACATGACAAAGCCCGAACACGGATGCAGGCACTGGCTGGCCCGAAGATGGACGAACAGCTTTTTACATGTTCATCGTTCACACATCTGTGAAGAACGAATGCAAGAACGAACCTTGGAAGCTCGCGAAAGATGTCCGTGAACGCCACGTTTGTACCTGCAGCAAAGCCATACTCAGGTACCGCTCTGTTCTTGAAGGGACGAGCCAGATTTGACCTAGCCATTACAATCCATGTCGTCCCTGGCTTTGACGGACTTTTTACTATCTCCTTTCCCTATTCGATCTCGATGGTCCACAGTGAATCTCTCCTGAGTCTTTCTTTATCAGATTCCTTGGCTATCGTGTCATCAAGCTGCCTTGACTGCCTAAGCATTTAGGCCCGCTCTCGCGGACTAGTGACTAGCCGCGACTAGCCCTCGTGCATGCAAGAAGAGCCACCACGCATGCAAGATCCGTCGCTGACATCGACTTCACTTAGACTTTCATGTCCTGACATCCATCGGCGCACTGTTCTCCAGGTGCGTCCCGGCTAGGTTGTGTAATTCCTGTGGAGGACATGACATGGGCAAAGCCACCGAGGCTACGTCACGTAAATACTCATGTTCGCTCGTGACAACAGGGAAAGAACATGCTTGCCTCGTTGTAATGAGCAACATACCTTAACCAGTGCAAACAAGCGACGCAAATCTTGACTTGCACTGCGATTTTCGACTCAAGGGCTCGGTCCGTCTTGAGTCATGCTCCAAGAACAACGTCGATGTAATAATCCTCATTACAAGACTTGTCCTGGCTCGGAGACGTTATGTTTCCCTCCAGCTACCACGTCCACGTCTTCTCAGCCCTGATCTTCCAACCATCCCGTAGATTCCACAGGAATGCTCGGAACTTTGAGCCCTCAATCCCGAACCCCTACATCCTCGACCCTAAACCCTGCGAATGCTCGAAGTCGTAAAGCCAGGCCTTGTCGGTAGCTCTGAACTCCGGAAACCAGGACTGCTCGAAGAGGTCGAGCCTCGGAAGAGAGGAGCAGGTGGCTACACAGCTCGTTCCAGAACGACTCTTACTTGGTCTTGAATATATGCGAAAAGCTATTGAAGTATGGTGCCGTCACGATTGCGTTGAAACAGATTCGACGAAATTCGCCGAAGTTTGGACATCGGATTTTGGACCCCCCAAATCCACGAGCCTATATCGCAGAAAAGAGCTGTTCGATGCATCGAGAACCCAATGGTTTTGGGATAAGTCATGAAACGTCACGATGATGAAATATGCTGGGAGCTCGGATTAATCCTTTCTGTCTGGCGAGCCCGGGCTATTAGTGATCGGTTCTATTGTAGTCTCGTCAACACATGGCATGCCAAGAACGACCCACGCTGATGCTGCATGCTAGCTGGAGAAATCTACACAACCCCTTTCCAATGTTGTCACATCTCCCAGCACAGCACGGTTTCCTGCGCAAGAAGTTGGAAATGTCACGAGTTAACACTGCATGTTGCCAGCGTCTAGTCCAAACATGAGGCCTGAAGACTTCGGAGTTCCCGCACTCACCCATCCCTCTCATTCTGAGGCTCCAGCCAAAGCTTCAGCTCCTTTTCAGAGGCAGGCTTTATCAACCCAAAACCCTAAACCGATCTATAACAACGTTTGAAGTCCCAAGCTTTCTCATGCTGTGGTTCTAGGGGCTGGTGGCGGAGCCTCTTTTGTGAGAACCTCCGAAGCTGGGGTCGGGGAACAACAGCCGTTACGATGCAAGCAAAAGTACCATTTCATGTATTCATGTAACGTGTATAAGGAGGTGATGAAAAAGTGAGATACGCACATGTAACTGTCTATGCAGGTGTCTTTGTTGTTGTGTCTTAGTCAGGTAGTGAGGCGGTTAGTCATAGTTAGTTATAGTTAGTTAGTTAGTTAGTTAGTTAGTTAGTTAGTTAGTTAGTTAGTTAGTTAGTTAGTTACTTAGTTACTTAGTTAGTTAGTTACTTAGTTAGTTAGTTAGTTACTTAGTTAGTTAGTTAGTTAGTTAGTTAGTTAGCTAGCTAGTTAGTTAGTTAGTTAGTCGGTTGGTTGGTTGGTTAGTTTGTTAATTAGCGGGTTAGCTAGACAGTTTGATTGTTTGGATGTTTGTTGTTGTTGTTTGATGGTTGTTGCTGCTTTGCATGCTTTTGTGTATGTGTGCTGGTGTTTGGTGTGCGTTTGCTTGTTGTTTTGTGTGTTTGTGTGTTTGTATGTGTGTGTGTGTGTTTGTGTGTTTGCGTTTAGTTGTTGTGTTGTGTGTTTGTATATTTGGTGTGTATTTGGTTGTTTTTTGTCTGTCTGTTTGTGTGTGCGTGTGTGTGTGTGCGCGTGCTTGTGTGGATGTCTGTTTGTTTGTCTGTTTGTATGTGTGTGTGTGTGTGTTTGTCTGTGCGCGTGCTTGCGGAGATGTTTGTTTGTTTGTTTGCTTTTGTACGTGCTTGTTTGTTTGTTGGTTTGCTTGCTTGCTTGCCTGCCTGGCTGGCTGCCTGACCGCAAACCTTGCCTTGCCTTGCCTTGCCTTGCCTTGCCTTCCCTTCCCTTCCCTTCCCTTCCCTTCCCTTCCCTTCCCCTCCCGTCCCGTCCCTTGGCTTGCCTTGCCTTGCCTTGCCTTGCCTTGCCTTCCCTGGCCTGCGTGCGTGAGTGCGTGCGTGTGTGTGCTTGCGTGCTTGCTTGCGTGCGTGCGTGCTTGCTTGCTTGCTTGCTTGTTTGCTTGCTTCCTTGCTTGTGTGCTCACCTGCTCTCTCGCTCGCTCGGTGGTTGTTGTTGTTTTGTACGTTTGTATGCCGTATGCTATGTATGCTGTGTATGTCATGCAAGAGATGCAGGTCATGTTTTCTACGTACTCTATGTATGGTGTATAAACTGTGCATGTGGTATGTGTAATCTTGGCAAATGTGTGCAATGCATGTAAAGGCGTGTGTATGTGATGCATGCAATTCCTGCATTGTACGTATGTCTGATTATGTATGTATGTTTGTATGTATGTATGTATGTATGTATGATTATGTATGTATGTGTGTAAGTGGGGTCCGGGATCAAACTCCCCAGCAGCAGGGAGCCAATAGCCAGGGACCCCAATGCTCCTCGACAATGGGCACGCTATGGGCCGCAGATGAACGCACGCATCCAGTAGGTCATGAGATTCCGAGTGTGTGGAGTTGGAGGTCCTCTTCAAGATGGGCCAGTGCGCAGGAATCTGTAACGGTGTACAAAAAAGAGTTTCCCCAAGTGGCATGGGCTTCGCCACCGAGGCCAGAAGGACTTGCAGACCGTTCGCAGCAGCTGCAGCAGAAGACGCAATGAAGAGAGGGTTACAGCACCTCCATCGCAAACACTACATGCTGATGTGCTTCATTAGGAGGTTGGTCGCCAAGACGGGCAGCGACTTCCTCCTATTTCCTCCTTGAGGTGCTGACGGCAGTGCCGGACGACGCTGAACTGCAAATGGTGGTGGTTGGTGTTGGAAGCGCTGCCTTCGTGGCCCAGAGCAACCTCGTGGCTATTTTACACAATTTGGAATGTAGTGGAGTGTTTCGCTCTGCCCGCCGGACGCGACTACGAATTGCTACCAGTACCAGCTGGGAGCCGCATGGACATGTGCTGATGGAGGCTCCGCGCTCGGGAACGCGGCTCATCGTCACTCCGACTGGAGTCTTGAAGGACATTGTGGAAGATGGCCTCATCGATCTCTGGACGGATGGTAGGATGACCGTAGAGGCGCTTGTGGAGCAAGACTTTTCTCGAAAGAGTGACCCTTGCCAAGAACAATAGTTAAATAGGCTCCGATGCCTGTGACTTGTTTCTCAATGCATTGTGGAGCTCATCTACAATGCCACTTTGCCTAAACGACCATGCTACAAGGGTTGAGCTGTGGCGCGACAGTCGCTGCAGGTCCCTGCGTACTGATCTCATGTTAGTTGTTTGCTCGGCATGCTCGTCTCTATATACGCTGTCACTGTACACGGCACGTATGTCGGAGCCGGCATGGTTTATTGAAAACAACCATGTGGGGTTTGGTCTGCCCCTAGAGGAATAGGCTCAGGACTTTCAATGCCTGGTAGCCGGCTTCGACAGGTTCTGCTGCGCATAGTAGAACCCTTGTTGCGTTTGTTCTGGTAGCGCTTGGCTGACGCTATGTTCTAGGCTTCAGATGTTTGAGTTTTGAGCGCTGGAGATACGGCTTTTGGCAGCCGGGTTAGGCTCTTCGCGCACCCCTCGGGAAAGTCTGATTTCTGCGCAACTACCATAATATAATTAGGAGCTGGCGCATACAGACACCCGTGGGCTTCTTCCACCCTCTGAATTTAGTTGCATTAGGCACGTTCGATTTGAACACAAAGCCTCACCAAAGATGTGTGCAAGTGTGCATGCAGGCATGTACGTTGGCAGTTGGGTGTGTGTGTGTGTGTGCGTGTGAGAATGCATGCATGTATGCACGCATTGATGTATGCATGCATGCATGCATGCATGCAGATATGCATGTATGTACGTATGTACGTACGTATGTATCGGGACAACCGCCTATCGTCTAACTATATACTACAGCAGTAAGAGCCAAGTTGTGTTTATGTTGTTTATTTGGAAACGGCTGTGGCTTCACAACTTTCGAGAGGCAGACACCGAAAAGCAAAAAGGTGCTACGGGCTTCCAAATCTCTGCATTCTGTTCAGGTGGCACCGCATGCCCATAAAGCCTAACGCGGGTCATGAACATGCTACATTCGCATAGCGCAGTTTTTGCATGCCACTATATTCCGCTGTAGCCCGGCTGTGGTAGCCGGGAACATGTGCTGGTCATGTCGCTCAGCATGGGGGACAGATCCACATCAAACCACAATTGGGCCAGCAAACGCCTCTCGAATTCCTGAACGCGATGCCCGACAGCCTGTCCTCGGGTGGCGTCTGCCGAAGCTTCGTCAAGGCATGCTTCATCTCTCGGAGGAGAAGGCCCCTGTTGTTTTTGGGCCGGCAGTAGGACATCCAGCTCACGTGCAGCAAAAAAGCTAATCCCAGTGGGCCCAACATGCGAGCTCAAGAAACATCAGGGACCCAATTGCCTACCCGGCATTGTAATTGTAAGATCCTTCTTGCACGGACCCCTAAGTCACTTCGCAAAGGTCCCTACTGCTCATGAATGCCTCCAAAAGCTGAACTACAGCCTCCGGAAGATCTTTGGCGAGAACATCCGTGCCACCTTCCTCAGAAAGCAGCCGCGGATTCGGCTTCGGCTTTGCTGCAACAGGACCAGCAGCCCAGACATCTCTCTGCTTCAAGGCCTCTCCTCTTTAGAACTTCGTTCCTACAGAAGTCCATTCAAACTTTCAATCCGGCCTATCTCAAGCCCATCCGTGTAGAATTCACTATCGTAGAAAAGGACTATGCGCCCTCATATTGCAACCGATCTCCACCAAAGACCAACTCATGATAGTCCGCTTGAAGCTATAGCATATGCCCGGAGTTCCGTACGTACAAACTACGTGCCACCTCGCAACCAAGACTATTATCCCACGCGATGTCAGACCGAAGCAGACTTCGCCATCAGCAACTTGTTTCTTCATCAGATGCAGTCAAATCCAGAAGACCAGATGTCGCAATACCTTCCAGCCATCAACTCAGCATACCACTTCCCAAATGCAGGAAACACGCTCCGGCAAACAAATCTTTGCACCAACCATGTGTCTCCCCACCGCATTCGTGCATCTCCAGTGCTGATCTTGGCATCTGGTATTTGTACATATGCAAGCCACCAACACAGAATAACAGTTTCGGGGTTTGGGGCTTCGGGAAAGGATGGAGATGAATAAAGGCTCCTTGCCATGGAGATGACGTGAGAGTTCGCGCTTGAAAGGGGCATGTTACGTTATAACGATTTTGGGTGGTTCATCTGTCGATGAGACAGCCTCAAATTCACTGAGAGTTCGGCATGTTGCCAGGTCCAGCAAATCTAAGAAGGGACAAACACCGGAAAACAACCTTATCGAGGTATTATGGCGCGCTAGGGCTGGTACAAGTGACAGAACCTCGACGGGTGGTGCCCTGCAAAGGCTTTGATATACTGGGCCCCTGGACCGGGCAAAAAGTAGAGGGCACGGAACAAAGCACAGATGGCTGCTGAATGTGTGAAATCTTGAGAATTTTGTGGTGCCAAGTATTTCTGACCTAGCGCCAAAAGAGCATGCCATGCAGGGTTGAGGCTTTAGAAACCCAAGCCCCGCACTCCAAGACGCATTGCAGGCCAGGGCGCTTCTGCACCGTCTCTCGTAGAATGCCTGAGAGCTTCGGCATCACTTGATATCACTTGAAAGCTCAACTGCATCCTGAACTCGGTAGCATAGAGTTTCATAACGTGATCAAAGAAAAGAAAGAAATCTTTGGCATGCCTGGCCGTCTGTCTGTCCGTCCTTCTGCGCAACTATGTAAGAAAAGCATGCAATTCTATATGTGTGTAAGCATGTGCGTATGTATGTATATAGGCAGGCAGTCAGGCAGGCAGGTGTGTGTTTATGTGCGTGCGGGTAGATCTGTATGTCTACGTGTGTGTATATATATATAAATAAAAATACATAACTACAAAAATAAATAAATAAACAAATAAATATATATATATATATATGCATCTAGCAGCGCATGTGTGTGTATGTGTATGTATATATAAGTAAGCACGTTTTTATGTATGTGCGCGTGTATGCGCGGGTACATGTGTGCGTATATGTGAAGGGGAAATATTTGCTGTTGACAAGTATGCCTGTATGCATATGTGTATGTATGTACGTGTGTATGCAGCTGCATGCATGTATGTTTATGTGTGTCTGTACACATGCACGAATGTAGGAACACGCACATGACGACCACCTAAAACCATACACTCGCCTGTACGAAAGGCACGATATGTATGATGCATACACACCTGCAGCTGTGACTCCGGTAGCTGCATAAGCAAACATTTGCATATACAGATGCTTGCATGTGTTTTCTATGCTACCCGCCTGCTCAAATACACATGATCTTACTTACATGCGTAGAAACGCATACATCGAACTTGCAGACATTCAAACGTAGCTTCATGCTTACATGCTCGCATGAATGCTTGCATACATGCTCACTTGCACATGCGCCCATTCCTTGATTCCTTCCGTCCCTCTTTCCTTACTTCCTTCCGGCCTTCCATTCATTCATTAGGTACGTACATGCCTGCATACATACACGCGCTCGTACATGCATGCATAAACAATGTGTGCAGATACTACACATGTAGAACCTTGTAGACATCATGCCATATATCTCTAGGCTTGCCAATCTGTGGAAGCCGAGTCCACCACGATCGATGATTAACATGCGGGTGCGACTGCCAACCACCTCAAACCTCACATGCGGCCCTCGCCACACAAACACACTTGCGAGGAAATGAGAACCTCGTGAAGGAGCAACTTCACTTGTGCAGCCCGTGAGCGCACATCGTCCAGTGATCGAATCCGGGCTGCCGCTGTGGAGCCCTTCGCACGAGTGATGTTGAACAGATTAAAGTACAGACCGCTTCCTGATCCGACATGTAGCAGCAGCGCCGCTCTTTGCAGAAGCGCATTGAGCTACTTCATGCAAGCAGAACAACCATCCCGGATGTAATCAGTCCCATGTGCCTCCGAAGAAGAGCTCTCAATCTCCCAATCAGAGCCCGGTGCGGCACCCTCCTTCGTTGGGGTCTCCTCCTGTGGCACTGGGCCATACAGCTTTGGGTCTTGTGAAAAACGCAAGGCAGCGTGAGTCAGTTTTGTGAGTTCCTGCCCAGAGGTAAACCAACTCAACACTGCGTGCCTACATTGGCTTACATGCTGTCCTGGGAGCTGTCTTCAAGGGTTTGTGCCGGAGGTGAAAAGGCTGAAGATATGTGCCCGGCGCCCTTTGCAAGGCATGCGACTCTTGCATAGGCTGCTATACAGGATCGCAAAGCGTAGTCTCCAGAGGATCCTGAAAGATGAAACACGAAACTCAGAAGCGGCAGCAACTCGTCCAACGAAATTTGCGTTCCCTGCTAGGGTAGGTGCTGCCCCGCTCCGTCGACGTGGGAGTAGCGATTCGGGGTTTGAACTACATGAATTTTAAGACGCAAGTAAAAGCATGTCCAGAGCTACCTCCGCTATGCACATAGCCATTTGTAGGTCAAAGCCGAACAGATGAAGGCGCTCGCCCCCCGGCAGCCTCCAAATTTGCAGGCATCTGTTGCGAACAAGAAACCACATCATCCAACAACCCCTCTAACACTCTAAGGCTGGACCCACGAGGTCTGTTTGTGCTACTAACCCCAACCCCTCCCAAAAACCTGAACCTGCAGGGCTTTTACAGTGACTGACAAACCCCCCGTAGCCCGTGCCAGGCTCCGAGTCGGGCATCTGCTGAAGGGGCCGGGCAGCCCGTTCGAAGTCCTCTCAAACTGAAGGACTACGGGCTGGGAAGGATCTGGTGCCTGTGGATTTATGGCTCACTCTAAATTGCCTTGGGCTCTTGCGTTCGGAACGCACTCTTAGCTTCAGGAACTTCAGGCTCACAGTCTCCTCACGGCTTAGAGCGCGCCAGTCTTCTTTCTCGCGCAGCGCTGCCACCTCCATAGAGCTTTCGGGTTCTGGGTCAAGGGCCGTTCAAAGTCTTTCAGAGAAGCGCAGGAGTTCCTACACTGCTGAAAAATGTAGGTGGCCTTCTGGCAAAGCTCCCAATGGTCCCACAAGAAGACCATCTCCTCATGGGCCGAAGTGATCCGTCGCTGGAATCTTAAGCTTATTCGCAGAGGGCTGTTACCATGGCATCAAGAGCGACGACGCCAACAAGACCCATCACAGCACGACGACATCCACACCAACTCCAACATCATCAACAACGGGAACACCACACACACAAGAGGCACAACCACAATCACGGCCCTGCCCGGTGCCGCCGCCGTGGCTGTCTCCTCACCACCACCACCACCACCACCAGAAGCACCACCAGAAGCAGACCGCGCTTGTGTTTCGACAACAACAGCACCACGAACAAGAACGACAGCGCTTCACCATCGCGGCTGCATAAGTAAAACAGACTTGGAACCGTCACGGAGCGCACCGTCCCCCTTATCAGACTATCAGAAACCTCGACCTCCATCTAAACCACTTCGATACGGTATGCGCAAACCCTGTGCGTATCTGTTTACGTTTAGGTATCACAAGCGTCACAAGCAAAACCATCCAAAGCCTGAGCGAAAACAGCACCCACCCAGCGTTTTGGGACGCTGGAGACCTCCAACTGCTGCCGATCACGGTCAACGAGTCCTTCAACGAGAGCACAGATTTTAGAGACAAGGTCATTGGAATAAGACAAATAGCAAGAAGAAACACTAGGGCACTACAGTCACTACAGCAACAGCAACAACCACCAAGGCAGCTGCAACTTGGACATCCAGAAGCAACGATCATAAAGATGTTAAATAGTGAAGAGACTAGATACTCATCTCGACATGCCATAATAACAATACGTGCCTAGGTGGTTGCCATGCAGGTGTCACGAAGCTCTGTGTACGCACAGGCTTTGCTTGTTCTTCTGACTGAACTGAAAACAGGGAAATACGTGCAGCTTCTTCGGCCGCTACTCCGGCAAAAGTTCCACCATTTCTGATTCCCACACCGTAAGACCGGTACCGAGATGCTGGACGAAACATGGCAATTATGAGTTGCTACGAGTGCTACAGCTTACAAACATTCGTTCTGCCTAAAAAGCATTATATGATGCATCACGGATCTCCAATCACCATCTTTCATAACACTTTAGACACAGCGATTCGGAAACGACCTTAACCAGGATATGCAGCCATAACCCTATGAGCATTAAGAAATGCTATCCTGCCTGTGGGTTCCGGAGCGTTCTGGGGGCCGCCTTCTGCCTTGCAGCGGAATGCTTTGCCCCAGACAAGCTGATGCTCAATTGTTTCTTCGATGTACGCAGCCCAAGCAAGGGCTTAGGACTACAACGCTTCCATGAGGCGAGGAAATTGACTGGCTCCAGGACAGATGTGATGTTGCTGTGCCAAAGCGTTTTCCTATCTACATGTAGCGATTCTGATCGTAAGTTGCAGCGCAACTGCAAACACAGGTCTACATTGATGCGCTCCTACAAACAAACCATACAGCCTACACACAGCCCGTGCCAAAACACCTGGTCTGCGCTGGCCAAGTACACGATGTCCTTGCGTCGGTGAGCTTCTACCCAGACCTGAGAAGGCTTCCACGAGGCTCGATCTGCAGCTTATGACAGACTTGGTATTTTTCCTGAGAGATCGTAGGGTTTATATAAGAGTTTACGAGGGGTTTTTCCCTTCCGCCCAGCTGACAAAACGAGCTACAGAAAAACATAGTAGCCATTAAACAGCACCCTCCAATCATCATACTGCCTAATTGCCACAGGCTCGCTCAGAATCATGACCACCTTCACCACCAAACCTAAACCCCAAGCCTTAACACAGTAGGGAGATGACAATTGACAACACTTGACAATCTATCAGCGGGCAACCGAGGACCTGGGCCTGGATTACTCGGTTCAAGTTTAGGTTTTTCGGGGTGATTGGTGTCAGAGTGTCAGAACATACGTGCTGCTAAACCTCTGAAAACTCCATGACTGTAGACGTGGAGCAAGAAGCTGTGGGCTCTCTTCAGTTAGCCACTTCTTGGCTTCCGTTCCGCACCCTCACCTTCAGAAACAGAAAACCGGGCACAATGGATCTCCTAAACTTTTGTTTGGGGAGGGGCTGCAAAACCCTAAATCCTGCACCCAAAAATCTTGCTAAGCCGCCGATCTGTCCAACTCTCGAGGGCCGTCATCAAGGTTTGAACGGCTGTCGTGAACAATCCTCGACAGCGATCTTGCAAGTCGCACGAAGGGGGGGCATGTTCTACAAGGTGCACCTGCAAATGTTGAGGGTGCGGGGGGGGGGGGGGGGGNNGGGGGGGGGACGGCTCGAATGGCCCACTGCCGCCACTGCAAAACACGACATCGCGCACAACAATATTGGGCCCAAGCTGCTATGATCCAACATGACTTCAATATGCCGACTCATTCAAGGCGCATGAACATGCCACGAACGACGAAATCCAGAATGGAAACGCTGCTCGTCGATCTCGTCTTCGCAATGTGTTCCGCCGTAAACAGCAGCTGCCTTCCCACAACCGAATCCAGATACGAGACATGAAACATCGTGAAACCATGATTTCAGCAGGCAAATGAATGAAGAGTGAGCACAAACCCTCTGTCACCATGGTGATGATGATGACGGCCAACATCACCAGCATCATCAGATTGACCTCGGCTGCACGTCCATGATTGTGATCAGCCAGGCCAGCCTCATGATGATGATGATGATGATGATGATGATCATCATCATCATCATCATCGTCATCGTCATCGTCATCATCAACCTCATCATCATCGTCATCACCATCATCATCGCCATCATTCTCATCGCCATCTTCAT